TCTTGGGTAACTCTTTTCCCTTCACCTCTCGATCCAACCCATCAAGTCCTTCAAGAATTCAGCAAAACCACCCACAGAATGGAAGAAATATTTGCAAATTGTCATTAGTATCCAGAAAACATAGAAAACTCAACAACATATCAACAATCCAAAAATGGACGAAAGACATGACGAGACCTCTCTTCAAAGAAGAGGCTCAAGGGGCTAAAAGGCACATGAATAGATATTTTGAACATTATTAACATCGTTAAACACGAGGGGAAAGAAAACCGAAACCACAATGAGATACGCTTTACATCACTGGAAGGCCTACTCTTCAAAAAGCAGAAAATATCGAGAGTCGTTGACGATGTGAAGAAATCGCACTGTGCGGGGTGGATGGGTTGCACAGAGTGGAAAACTAACATCTTCCTCTCTATGCACCCCACCTGCTCCCCCCTTAACCACCTTCCTCAAAAATAGCGCCACCATGCACCCACAGACAACCTACACGAGAAAATAAAACATGAAGGACAAGATGGGTTTGTTTGCAATGCCTGGGTTTTCTGACTGTCGGCCTGAGATATCCCAGTTTCTCCATGAAGAAATTAACCACAGAAGTGGAAAGTCTCCAGCGCCTCACACAGGATTGCTCCTGCCCTAAATCAGAAGGGGCCCCCGAGGAGCGTTGTGCATGTCTGGGGAGGGGGGACCTGCAAACACCCCATCTTACAGCTGACCCCACCTGTCCCCTGGCCTTGGAGAGGCGCATCTGGGTGGGTGGGGGAGTCTAGACTCTGTCTAGGTGAGTTTTTGAATGGAGCACCTCACCACTAAATCACTCCTAGCGTGCCACTGTGGAAACATAAAACTAGGGGCAAAACCATCCTATTTTGGGAAACCTTTTCTTTTTTGGTACCTTTCAAGACGTGCGTGTCGCGCAGCCCCCGTGCCGCCGCTAGGTGGCGCGCGCCCCCCACGGCGCCCCGGCGGGCCCGGGCCGAGGGGTTCCCTGCAGACCTGAGAGGTGATGTCCAGGCCGGCGTGTACAGGTGAAGGATCACCACTAAAAGCTGAATTCCCAAGGGGAGGACGCGTCTTCCGTGAGGTCCCATCACGGCCTCTCGGGGCCTGGAGCAAACCCTGAGCGTCCACCCTGCAGAACGCACAAGCTGCTCCCTCACCTGCCGGCCCCGGCGCGGGGGTGCGCTGGGGAGCAGCAGTGCGTGTCCTTCTGCCTAAAAAGGTTGAGGTTCCCATGCGCAGACCTTAGCTCTGCGGGGCGCGGAGGATGCTGAGAGACACGTCTGCGGGGCACGTGGGCCAGAGCAGACAGACCCGTGGAGCGCGCCTTGGACAGGCCCAGAGGGCCCCGGGTTAGCTGCCTTGGAGAGGGATTTAGATCGTGCGCCCCAGCTTCCCCGGCTGTAAGATGGGGGTCACGGTGCGCGCTCCGACTGCGAGTTCTGGCGCCTCGTGGGCGGCCGGCGTTTGTCTGAGGATGCCCCGCCTGGGCCCCCGCGAGCGCCCGTCCCGCGGCCCGTGTTCCCGGCCTTGCGCGTGGACAGCCCTGGCGGGGCCCGGAGCCCAGGAGCCCAGGAGGGCGGCCGGGAGGGGCGCCCCGCTCTCGGGAGGCTGGCGAGGCTTGGGGCGCCCTCGCGAGCCTGCCTACGGGGGAGATGTTCACTCCCGACGCGGCCTCGGCGGGCCCTGGCCGGGGAGCCGCACCGGGACCCCCTCCCTGCTCCAGCTCTCCCAGCTCCGGGCTGACCCCGGGGGCGCCCGTCCCGGCCGCGTCCGGGCGCTGAGTCCCTCTGGCCTCCAGGTGCGGAGCAGCCCCTGGCGCTCGCTGCCGGCCCGGTTTCCGCGGGGAGAGCTCGGACAGCGGCGGGGCAGGTGGAGGTGACCCCTGGACGAGCCCCCCCCCGCCCCCGGCCCGGCCCGGCCCCAGCGCGCGAGGGCGCGAGCACCACGGCCGGCAGCGCGCTCCCGAGAGTGGGGTTTCCCGGCTCCCCCGTCCCGGGGGTCGCGCGCCCTCGCCCCACGCTCCGCCCGCGGCCGGCGGGGGCCTCAGGGTCGCGAGGCGCTGGCGACCCGGCCGCTGCGGGGGCGCGAGGCAGCCGCAAGTAGGGGGCGCGCAGGCACCGAGCTGCGGGGAGCAAAGAGCTGGGGGAGGAGGGAGGAAGAGCGGCCCGGGCCCGGGGGGAGACCGGGAAGGCGCGGGCCAGGTGCCTGCGCGGAGACGCGATTCCCGGGCCCCGCCGGAGCGCGGCGCCGACGGCACGGCCGGAGCTGCCCGGCCGCCCCGGGCTCCTGGAGCGCGCGGCCACGTCCGGGGCCAGTCGCCCTCCGCCGGCTGGAAGCCCGGCCCGGAGCGGCGGCCGCGATCCCCGGCCCCGCGCCGGCTCCCGCCCCTGGACGCCGCGCGGACGGCGCCGCACCAGGGCGCGCGGGCCGGCTCCGCTCCCTGCGCCTCTACTCCCCTCCCAGGCCCTTATTAGGAGCAGCTTCTCGTTGCAGCAGTTGCAGCCCGCGCGGGTCCCCCGCCAACCCCCAGCTCCGGCCCAGCCAGGCGGGCCGCAGCCGCCCCGAGGACACGCGCCCCTCCCCGGGCGCCCCGGCCTCCGGCCACGCTCTTGCCCTGTGGACACGCAAAGCCCGGCCGGCCCCACAGCACTGAGCCGCACGTCTCCGGGCTCTGGAAACCTCTGCCCCAGCTGTGGCCAGGGGCAGAAACTACTGTGATTTGGGTTTCTTTTTTTTTTAAAAAAGAGGGGGCAGAGAGAATGGGTTATTATTTTCAAATAAGTCTTTGTATGGCCTCAAATTTACTCTCCCACTCGGTCATTGAACCCCCAACCATCTCTGCCTGTCTGCGCGCCCCACTCACTCGAGGATCAGCCCACGCCACGTCCCGGCCGCGGGAGAGGCTGGCCCGGGGGCGCAGGGCCGGCTGCCCCCTCTCACCGCCGGAGCGCCCGTGGCAATGTCCTCGCGCGCGCCCCAGAGAACAACAAGAAGTCCCCTGGGGCCCTGGGGACGGGTGATGTGGGGAACAAGCACAGGTCAGCGCTAGAAGGAAAGAACACGTTTTCTTTGCAACCTGGTCAGAGTCCCTTGGGTCCCCTCCCTGCCCGAAGAGCGTCCGTCCCTCAACGCCAGCCCCCGCCGGTCCGACCCCCAAATTCAGACACCTTTTCCTCAAAACTGACGTCATTGCAGAGGGTTATAAAGGGCAGTGACCTCTTCGAGGGTGCGGTTTTTCTTTTCCCCAACACCGGGCAATGCAGGTCCAGTGTGCAGCGCTTAGGGAGCCAGGAAGCTCACCTGGGGGGGGTGGGGGATGTGGGGGGCTGGAGAGAGACTGCAGAGACTGCACCCCCCGCTGGACTGAAAACTGTGGACACAGTGCACGCACTTCCTCCAGAACAAGATCGACCCCAAACAATCCACCAGGGGGAATGGCATTTGTTTTAGGGACACCAAAAACAAGAACCCCAGCAATTTACCAAATTGAAATCACGGTCCTTTACATTTATTTGACGGTTCGAGTTGTCTCATTGGTGTGTGGAAGACAGCAGAGCAGGCCCCCTGCGCAATTTTTTTTTATTGAAACACAAACAATAACTGCCTTGACACAGTCACAGCATTTCTGCGTCGTGGCGCGGGCTCTTTCTATAACCCAAAGCAGCGCGCTTCTTATTTTTTAAGAGCATGTGGCATCAGTTCGCCATCCTTGTTGTGGTCAAATCCCAGATAATTATATTAAACAAACGTATTTCGCTAATCTTCTCCCACTCCCAAGTAACAGAGTATCTGAACATCAAATGGAACGGTGTAAAATTTAACAAATTCCCACTCAACCCAGTCTTGACCACTCAGGGACAGACCAGGCAATTTCCAGAAACCCTCTCCAAGCTGCCTTCCAGTTTCTCGGCTGCCCTGGCTGGTCACTGCACCACTTTTTTTCCTTTTCAATCCCCCCTAAAAATCGAATCAAATCGAACCGGGTGAGGAAAGAAAACTATTCCCAGAGTGATTTTAATTCGCTGGTTGCTGAAGGGCAAAGAATAAGGACTGGAGACATTGCGCAACGAAGGAGGAAAAATACGCATTTTGTTCTCCGCATCCAGGAGTCTCCTCAAGAACAGAAACTACCAGAGCGGTTTCTGCAGCCGCGTTATCTTGCATTTTCTCGGCAGATGCAGACCGGACCGCGACTCCCGCTCCACGAACGCGCCGCGCGCCGGGGTTCGGGTCGGTCTGCAGAGGCGAGGACCGCGGCGCCGGGGCGCGAGGCTGCGGGGCGCACCTCCTCGGAGCGGGCGGGCGCGCGGCAGACCCGGCGGGGCGCGAAGGGGTTAAGCCAGCCCCCAACTTTCTCGGCGCAACGTGCCCAGTTTTGTCGGTTTGGGCCGGCGTCGCCCCGCCGGGCCCAGCCAATGGGCGGACGCGGGCGCCGGGCCGGCCCCGCCCGGGGGCGAGGCCCGGGGCCGTCACTCAGCGGAGAGGAATGACACCCGCGCGGGCGGGGGGATGCCGCGGCCGCCGGGGAAGGGAAGAAACAGATAAAACCCGGGCAGGGGGTGGAGAGGTGCCCGCGCCTCCGGGATCCGGCCGCCTCGGGGTGGGCTCCGGACGGGCCGGCCCGGCGGGGGCGCGCGAGACGAGCCGGGAGCGGGTCCTGCAGGCGGGGGAGAGGCCGGCGCCGGGGAACAGGGACTCGGGCCGTGCGCCCCGGAGGCGCGCAGGAGAGGGCGCCGCGCCGAGGGCCCCCCGTCGGGCCTCCCCCGCGTCCTGCGAGGGGGCAGCCCCGGCCCGCCTCTGGGGCGCGAGGCGATGAGATAATCCAGCTGAGCTCCGGCGGGAGAGCGGCTGGCGCTGGCCTGGGGGAGGGGGTCTCGCGGCGGGGTGGGCCTCGCCAGCGGGGGCGCGGGTGGGCGCGGATCCCCGGCCAGCGCGGGCGGGGGCTGCCGGGCCCTGGCGCGCCGGGCTCCCGCGAGCTGCCGCGGCCCGCGCGCTCCGTCCAGCTCCGAGCGGCCCCGCGCCCCCGCCGCCCGGCCGGCCCGGCCCGCGGCGCAGATGGCGGTGCGCGGCGCCGGCACCTTGACGCCCTTCTCCATCCAGGCGATCCTCAACAAGAAAGAGGAGCGCGGCGGGCTGCCCGCGCCGGACGGCCGTCCGGCACCCGGGGGCGCAGCCGTGGCCGTGGCCGCGGCGCCCGCGGTCTGCTGCTGGAGGCTCTTTGGGGAGACGGACGCGGGCGCGCTGGGGGGCGCCGAGGACTCTCTGCTGGCGTCGCCCGCCGGGGCCCGGGCGGCCGCGGGGCAGAGCGCGGAGAGCCCGGGCTGGGACTCGGACTCGGCGCCGAGCGAGGACAACGAGGGCGGCCGGCGCTGCGCGCACGCGCCGGGGGCCAGCGGAGCCGGGCGCGCGGGGGGGACCCTGGGCCTCGGCCAGCCGGTCTGCGAGCTGCCCGCCGCCAAGGACCTGGAGGAGGAAGCCGCGGGCCGGAGCGACAGCGAGATGTCGGCCAGCGTCTCAGGTTCGCAGAGGCTTCGCGGGGAAGGGGCCGGGCCGGGCGGAAGGGCTGGGCGCGCGGAGCAACTTGGCGGGGCGGAGTGGGGGGGCTGGCGGTCGGCACTCAGCGCCCTGGGGCCCCGGCCTGGCGGAGACCCGAGGCTGGGGCCGCTGCGGGGGCTGCCCTAGCCCTCCGGGAGCTGAGCTCGGAGCCCCAGGTCCTGGGGCAGTGCGCTCCGGACCGGCTGCGGGAGCTCTGCCTCCGGCTGCACCGCCAGTGCCGGCTCGGGGGGAGCGCGAGGGGCCCGGAGACCTCGGGGAGCCAGTGCTCTGGCCCAGGGAGCAGGGACGCTCTGCCTGGAGACCCCAGCGTGGCCGGGGATGCCTCTAAGGGGCCGGAGCGGGAGGATCTACCCGACCAGGCTTTGGGAGGAGGCAGCCTTGTCTAGCTCCTTCGGGACCCTGCCCTGCCTGGGCTGCGCACCCAAGAGCTGCAAGGAAACCCAGCGGGCAGCTGCAGGCAGAAGGGCTTGATGGGGGTCACACGAGGTGCTGCAGGGAAGGCGACGTCCTCGGTGCAGGGCTGGCATGTCATTTGGTCAGAGAACTTCGGGCGCGTCTCGGCGGGTGAACACTGCTCTAGGCCTCACGCTGGCCCCGAGCAGATGGAATCTGCATCCTAGCAGGCCTCGCTGCGAGCGCGCCACGGCGGAGGAGCTGGATGCAGATTAGGCTGCAAGGATCTGAGGCAGAGACACCCCCACCCATCACCTCCAATCCCCCGGCCCTCAGCTCACGCTCTTGCAGAGAGAGGGACAAGTCCCGCCACGGCTTTGGCACAGCCTCCTGCCACCGCCCCCGCAGCACACCCTGGGGGTTAGGTGGGAGACTCCAAACACTCCTGTCCCCGCGATCCGGTCCTCACCTTCCCCTCACGCGCAGCCACGGCCTGTGCTAAGCAGCGCCGCGTGGCGGGAGACCCGTGAGCCCCAGGAGGGAGGCCGGAGCGCGGCCCACCAGCCCCAGGCGCGGCGCGGCGAGGGGAGGGCCGCAAAAATGCTCGGACCCGGGTGTCGCCACGTTCCAGAGGGGCCCAGAGAAAGCAGGGAGCAGGGTCTCGGTCACAGGGCGGCGCAGACAGAGGCCGAGCTCCGGCCGGCACACTCAGGCCTAGATGCCCAAGGGCGTCGGGCAGGATCCCGAGCAGTGTCCAGGGACGCGTGTTCCGCCCCCTGCCCACCCCGCCCTGCAGCTGAGGCCTGACCGCGCTCCTCCAGGGCACTGACAGTCTCTTGTTTCTGTTCCCACCGGGGTCCGCAGGCGACCGCAGTCCGCGCGCCGAGGACGAAGGCGTCGGCCCGGGAGGCGCGCGCGTGTCCGCGCTGGGCAGCGGCGCGGGCGGCAGCGGCAGGCCGGCGGGCGGCGCGGAGGAGGAGGAGCCCGCGGCGCCCAAACCGCGCAAGAAGCGCTCGCGGGCGGCCTTCTCCCACGCGCAGGTGTTCGAGCTCGAGCGCCGCTTCAATCACCAGCGCTACCTGTCGGGGCCCGAGCGCGCGGACCTGGCCGCGTCGCTGAAGCTGACGGAGACGCAGGTGAAGATTTGGTTCCAGAACCGGCGCTACAAGACCAAGCGCCGGCAGATGGCCGCGGACCTGCTGGCCTCGGCTCCCGCCGCCAAGAAGGTGGCGGTGAAGGTGCTGGTGCGCGACGACCAGAGACAGTACCTGCCCGGCGAGGTGCTGCGGCCGCCCTCGCTGCTGCCCCTGCAGCCCTCCTACTACTACCCCTACTACTGCCTCCCGGGCTGGGCACTGTCCACGTGCGCGGCCGCGGCGGGCACCCAGTGAGCCCGCCCGGGCCGAGACAGCTTCAGGCCCCGGAGGTCCAGCTCCCCGCGGCCGAGGACGCCGTGCGGGCTGTGCGCTATGTCGGGGCGACCGTCGAGGGGGCCACGGAGAATGAAATGCAGCCCCGGCTCTGCTATCCTGGCCGTGCGACCCCGCTGAGGGGCCGAGCCTGCCCAGAGGGGGAGCCTTTTTCTAACTTGGACAGAGGTGCCTACCCTGTGGCCTAGGGGTCCCAACGCCCCCTCACCTGCCTGGAAGCCCTCGGACGTTATTTATTGCCGCGACAATGTTGGATTTGGATTGTGTCTGCCTGGGAAGGACGTTCCCCCAGAGCAGAGAGAACTCCTGGAGACCACGTAGCCTGAATCCCCAGAAGGTCAGGCCTGCCGGGAGCTTTGTGCGCTTGGCCACACGAGTTCATGGTATCCATGCTACCAATCTATGTGTATCTACATATCTATTATTTTTGGAAATTGCATTTATTACAAGTGGGGTGCGGAACCCCGGCAGCCCCACCAAAGAGCCCCGGGCGAGGGGTTGATTGAACCCTGAAGGGGTTTGATTTTCCGGCCCTCCATCCCATCCGCGGTGTCAAAACTCGGGTGGGGGCACCCAACTGGGTGTTGGATGTAGGGAAGGGAGCCTACGGGGCAGGGTAGGGCCACCCCGCCCATCCCCGCATCTTCCAAGACCCTGGCGCCCTGGGGAGCTCCTCCAAGCTCCTCAGACCAGGAGAGCAAACCCTGCAGCCCTTCGCAGAAACTTTCCTTGAGTTCTTTTTATTTTTTTAAAGGAGGTTTAAAACTTGTAGCACTTTTCAGTTGTTTGTATTCAAATGACGGTTATTTTTGTATTCAATGTGAATATCCCCACCAGCCTCTCTGGCGGCCTCTGCAGCAGGGCGCTGAGCCCGCCCCTCGGTCTCTGTCTCTCTGCGACTCCCAGATCCCACTCAGAATCCTCCCACCCCGGTCCTTGGCCCTCAGACCGTGGTCCTGCCAACCTCGCAGCTTTGTGCCTCCGCCCGGCACGGTGCACCCACCTAGAGTATTAACTTTAAAAGATTTGTGACATTTGGAAGCTCTATTCGCTGTAATTTTTTCCCTTTAATTTATAAACTTTTAGTTTAACATGCTGTCCTGGATGCTGTTTTCTCTGAGGCGCTTTCTGGCAGGCTTTGGGGGAACCAGTAACATATTAATAGGGGGGTGTTCGTTTTCCCAGTCTCTTTTCAGATGGGGTGAAGGATGCTTTGCCCCTGGGGGAGCCGCCCTGCAGCCCACCCTGGGTTGAAGCCCGGCAGCTCAGGGAATCTCGACTTCAGGGACTTGCCAGGAGCCACAGCGGAATCCCTGTGACTCTTAATACCTAGGATTCCCTTTTGTTCTTGTGCGCATTGGGGTTCAGCCTGAGAAGCACTTGCGGCTGAGGCCGTAGCTAATTTCCATTCCCCAACCGCCTGACCCCTACACTTTCGGTTTTGGTAGCTTTTCTTTAAGTGATGCTGTCCTTATTTCATTTGGAGGCTACACTGGCAAAAACTCTCCCTGAAATTCTGAAGGAGCCGCTCAGGAGGTGTCTCCCAGGTGGGTGCCAAGGCACACCTATAGCAGAGGGCTTCCCTGTCTTGATGACTTGATGACTTGGCATCTTCTGACCTGCCCAGATGCCCACCCAGGGCGCAGAGGATGGGCCCGGGTTATTTATTGCCCCATTTTACAGGTGAACACGCCCCACTGGCATTGCAGGACTCCCCAGAACACCCAGGATTCACCGGGGCAAAATCCTCCCTGCCCTGCCCGGGCGCGGGTGCCAGGCGAGCAGGGACGAGCTGAGGCCACGCCGCAGGCGCGCAGGCCCCGGGTCGGCCGGCCGCGCTGGGAACCGCAGCCAGGCCTCGCTGCTTTCAATTTCACCCGGCGCCCAAAGCCCACGAGCCGTGGCTTTGCCAGCCCAGCGCCCCCAAGCTTGCGAGCCCCGAGGACCCAGGCGCCTGCAGCCCTGGGGCGCGGTGGGGACAGAGAGGCGCTGCCAGCGCTTTGCAAAACGATTGTTATTTCTGGACGCAGCGAAAAGGGGAAAAAGCCTCAGGTTCTACCCGTCCTCGCGCAGGTCCAACTAACTCCCCAACACGTCCCGCCATCGCTTTGTTTCTTCTTGGCACGTTAAAAAAAATCCCACTTAAAATGTCACCACCAAAAGCGCGTTTGCCTGGTCGGAAGTCGGGGCATTTCCGATAGGGCTGGACTCGCCTTTCTCTCCCGAAATCGCCATTATTGAGGATTTTTTTTTTAGGGGGATCGATTTATTCCCCTTTGGGAGAATGTCGGTTGTCTGAGGCTGCGTCCTGCGAGGGAAATGTGTGCGCCCTCCTCGCGCAGCGCAGTGGGGTGCAGAGAACTGGGGAGTTCCTCGCCTGTAGGCGGGGCGGCGGCCCTCGGCGCGGCCTCTGCTCTCCACCCCTCGCCGGGGCCTATTTTACTGGGTTGACTCGAAACAGCCGGGTTTTTGCAGTTTCGCTCTCAGCAGCCGCGGTGCTGGCGGGGGCGCGAGCGCCCCGAGATCTGAGATCCAGGGGGCCTGGGAGGATTTCTCGCCGCATTTGGCGGCCTCGGTTCTGCTGCGCCCCGGACCACCGGCGCGACCGCGGTCGGAAACCAACGGTACCGCTTTCCTCCGGGCCTCTCCTTCCCCGCTGCCCGCCCCGGGCCTCTCCGCCCTCCCTAGGAAAGACTAGAAGCGGCTCCGCTCCTCGCCGCCCTGCGCCCGGCCCCAGAAGGTCCTCGGCCACCTTCTCCCCGCGCCCCGGGCGGCTCTGGGCTCCCCCCCCAGCACCGGCTGGGCTGGGCCGCAGGGACCCTCACCCCTTGCTCGTCCTCAGCTCTCTCCGCCCTTGGTGAAGGTCAGAGCTGGCTTGGGAACTGCTAAGTGAGACCCACAGGCTTAGGTGGGGAACCAGGGCTGGGGGATTCGCCCCGCATTGAAATCAGTCCCAAGAATTTGGGCTCAGCCTGGGAATCTTGCTCTAGGCAGGACAGCTGGGATAGACAGCCTGGCCCAGACTGCTGGTGTGTGTGTGTGTGTGTGTGTGTGTGTGTGTGTGTGTGTGTGTGTGTGTGTGTGTGTATCTCAAACTTTGGGCCTGTTGGCCTTGACATTTCAAGCTGCTGTCTCTTCATGGGGACAGGTTTTAGGTGACCCCAAAGAATATGTAGGAATCGCTGGGCTGAGCCGGGGGCACTTGGGATGGGCTCCATTTCAGAAAATAAATGACTTTCTAGCCAGCTTATCTGCTTGCTGCTCCTGGGAGTCAGCAAAGGGTCGAGGGGTAGAGCAGCTGTGACTTTGTGGGAGAACGTCTGTGAAAACCTCAAGTCCACAGTCTTGCACCTGAGAGGCAATTCATTGGAAGCCTCTCCCAGAGCCTGAGAAGCTAGAGCCCGAGGTGAGGTGTAGGGATCATTCACAGACCCGCTTGGCAGGACACACGGTTGGCCTGCAGACATCCCATCCATCGGCACTGGTCCTGGGATGTTGACTCCCTAACTTTCCAGCGGAGCCCTGTCCAGGCCCAGCGGAGCTCCCTATATTTCATGGTGCCTGCCAGGAACAGGTAGAATCCGACCTCCTGCAAGTCCAGGGACTTCAACCGTCTTTCCAGAAAGCCCCCTGCCTCAGAGGAAAGCCACCATCAAGCCTCAGACATCCCCTGCCCACCCAAAACGGAGAACTGGTGCAGCAGTTCTGGGGGCAGCGCTGGGCGGCTGCAGGACTCCGATGCATGGGCACTGCCCGACAGTGCTCACGCATTTAGGACTCGCCAAGCTGGGTGTGGAGAGCGCTTTGCTGGAGGAGCTTTGCAAGCCCAAAAACGCTGAGGGCAAGTAGTGCAGTGTTTCCTCTGTGGGTGGCTGGTGGTGTTTCCACCCCTCCCTGTCCTGTGATGGTCACCCCCAGAGCCTCGAAGGAAGCAGGGGAAGAGACTCTTGATTGGAGAGAGGCCCCAAGGAGCAGCCAAACAGCACACGTATGCAAACACATGCACACACGCTACTAACAACTCTGTCCCTTATCTGGGAGGTCACAGTTGAAAAAGTGCTTCAGGATCCTGTCCCATGGGGAGTTGCTAAGGCCTGCGTAGTGGGGCAGGCAAGACCTCCATTTTATCTGGAGAAACTGAGGCTCCAAGAGGTGGTGTGATTTGCCTGAAGTAACAGGCCATTAAGAGAACCAGTCAGAGACCAAATCTACAGGCAACCGCTAAGATTTGAAGGGACAGAGTGGATTGCCCTACATCCCCTGCTCAGCAGAGGGTCCCCCAGAGGCTTGAGAGCCCACCTTGCCAGGTTTTGAGTCTCCTGATTAAATGGAGAAAAGCCATAGTAGAGTTGCAAAAAGAAAAAAAAAAACCTGTTATATTGTAAATGGTTACATCATGTCATAACTGGAGTTCTTTCTGTAGTTACACATAGCAGTTATTGAACGTAAATTGGGCTGTTTAAATCATTATGGCATTTATAAAAGAAGGTTGATTCCTGGGGTCCTGCGAGCCAGGGTGGTCGGTGCCGGCTGCAGCTTGGGCTGAGCCATGAAGTTCTTTCAAACCTGGTGGATGCATGTGAAGCTGCGCTCTTAGTAAGGAAACATCCAAATGTTCAAAATTGGGGAGAATCGTGAATGTGAAAGTGGGCCGACAGACCTGCAGCCCCACATCCTGTCAGGAGTGCTACATTCAAACCCTTTGCTTGGGTGGAGGCAGCAAAGGCAGGGATGTTGCTCTGGCGGGTCAGGAGCTGACCAGGAACCCTCTACTAGCGAAGAGCAGCTCTGTGTTCCTGTTGGAACGTCAAGTTCAACGGGAACACAGTTGGTGATGGCTGCGGGAGCGGAGCGGGGCCTCCGGCCCTGGAGCTTCTTGCAGGGAAGATCACTCCCATCTTCAAACATTTCTTCCACTCCCCGGGTGTGTGCATGACACGCTCCCCAGCCCAAGGCTCGTGTTCCACCTTCTGTCCCTCCCA